GAAAATTCGCGAATTGTTTGCGACTATTCCGTATGAAATTATTCAACAATAACACACTTCACTAACGATTCAAAAGAATTTAAACAAATCTTCCTCAAATATAATCTATTTTGTTGCAAAACAAATATTATTCGAGATGCTATGTATTTGTTCGAGATGCTATTATTATTATTATTATTATTATTATTATTATTATTATTATTATTTAGTGCATTTATTTAATGCGCTTATTTATTATTATCATTCATTTAATCGCTCCCTTGGTAAGTTGAATTAGATTAAAATTCGAACATAAATTATAATCAATTGAATTTATTCATTACAAAATCCCTCTCTATAAATTAAACAAAAACATTGCGATGATATTTGTTTAATTAATTAAATTGAAAAATTTCTACTCTCTAATTTACAAGATTGTTGCTTTCCAATGCATGAAAACATACATCGAATAGATGAAAAAAAAAGCGTTCATTTTTCATTTTTCAAAATTTTACTTTATTTTTCAATAGCGTATTTTTTCCTGTTGATTTTGCTCAATAGAGATTTCATTCGTTTCCTCCCTATTAACTTATACATTTTAATTAATTATTGTTACTAATGATGATAACCCTAATTGGATTGAAATATATTTTTTTGTTATTCACATTTTTCAATATTAGATTTTAATTTACGAATCTAATAATGATAAATATAAATGTCGAATACTTCAACCGTTTCTCTTTGAATGTGACAGAAAATAGATGATAGGATAATGATAATGAATTGAGAATGTTTGATTGGATGATGATGGAAATGCATTGCGGAGACCTTACATAGCTGAAAGCTATTCAATGATCCATTATGAGTATATGAGATAGTTTGTGCGCAACTGCTCAACTGTGAATGAATGACCACTCGACCCGAGTCCACCCTTACCTCTCTCTTCTTTCTCCCTCGGCTATTGGCATCGATGATTGACATCCAAATAGTACTACTACTATTACCTATTGCTACTACCTATTACTACTATTACTACTACTATACTACTATTACCACTGCTACTATATCACCTGGACACATATAAACGGACCCTCATTGTGTATGTATATTATAAGCTAAGGTCCTATCACATCAGTGTCCATCTCATCTTGTCCTCCTATTCCTCCCTTTATTTCTCAACTCCCTTCAAAAATCACTTCAATTTAAAAAACACCCACGGCGAGAAAAAGCTCAGTTGAGAAGAACAAACAAACAATATACAGTGTAGCTTTAGGAGGAAGGTGACATAGCAGGACGGATTGTAAGTCTCGACAAAGTCCTCTTTCCTCCGATCACGGAAGTGCGCCTGTTCCTCCTACTCTTTCAGCTTTCCCCATTTCATCTTAATTCCTCCTCCATCTGCACCAACACCATCACCATTACCACCATCATTCATGTGTCATTATCATCATCATTATCACCACTATTACTACTATCATTACTACGACTGCTACTGCTACTACTACAACAACACTAACACCACCAAATACCACCACTACCCCAATGATCAAGCAGGCAATAAATCATTTTTATACAAACGGCCTCTTTCACGCTATTTATCAGCAAAAAAGGCGATGTTATTTCAACGTGTCTCCCTTATTAGCGTAGCTTTCTTGCCATTAGCATCTTTTGCAATTGCAATTGCTTTCTCATTTTTTCGCTCCTTAAATTCATCAATTTTAAATTTCCATCGTATCACTGAAGGATATTTTAGCGCCGATCTTCTACTTTTCCCATCTATTAATATTATAATTATGATAATTCACTTCATACTGCAAATTTTCTACCTTTCATGCTAATGTATAATGCAATACACCCTGTTCAACAACTATCCTTCAGTCTTTCATTGCTTTCATTTCATCATCACACCTGGCTTTCTCTCTCTTATTCCTTCTGCCCCTCTTCCCCATCCATATTACGTTACCCTGATGCAGTTTTATAATATATTTCTTCTCCATTATTATTGATAACAGAAAATGATTACAATTAACCAGTTAGCCTCTTATCTCTTTATCCAAGCAAATTTAAAATGAATGAATGTTTCTCAGATAATTGTTAAATATTTCTCTTACTATTTTAACTGCAATTAATCAACAATGTATTTAAATTTCTTCAAAAACGATCAATTTTTTTCTTAAAAAATTATTTATGTAACAAACAAAAATAAATCAAAGGAAGTAATCATTAGTAGCATAACATCTAAAATGTAATAGTTATAATTTATATTTTTAACAAAAGCATGAAAGATATATCTTTGTTTTGTTTGTTTTCTTCGTTTACACATTACATGAAATATTATAACCCCAGAGTTAAAGTACTGTAATGAAATAATTGTTAGGAAAGTTTTTGCAAGCAATATTTTACTTCCTTTGATTTATTCTTCTGCAAAGAGCTGATGGCTGATATCATTGTTTGCCTAATGAATGGACATGTATACTGCGATGTCATACATGATTAAGTGCGATGGTTATCATCACGTTGTAAATTAATTATCAGCAAAAGGACAAATTGATAAAAGGCATAGAATCATGTATGACATTGCAGTATTATTGACGAGTTTTCCTGCATTAAAAGTGGACAAATGTTGTAAATGATATAATAATTAACAATAATAATTAATAATAATAATAATCAATAGTATAAATCATTTGCACTATTTATATCAACAATCGTAAATAAAGGAATGATGTCATTGACAGTATGTGTGTATGTATAATGATAAGTACTCGATGATGATTAATGATATGACGAATGTGTATTTATTTATAAGTGTGTTTGTGTATAAGCGAAAGTGGAATATAGTGAAAAATGGCTTATATGTGAGGAAATGAATCAACGGAGAAAGAGATGATATTGAGAATTCTCGTTGAGGTCATTTACAGGAAGGTATGTTAGTGGGCAACATTTTTATGGTCCTGTTGAGCAGCGAATAATTAATATGCAACTAATAGCCAGAACCCTTCCTATGGATAACACCTTATGGACTGACGGACAGCTGCCCACTGGACCCATTCTTTCCTCCCATGAAATAAGTGAATCAACAAATGACCAGAGCAGATAAAAANGAATAATTAATATGCAACTAATAGCCAGAACCCTTCCTATGGATAACACCTTATGGACTGACGGACAGCTGCCCACTGGACCCATTCTTTCCTCCCATGAAATAAGTGAATCAACAAATGACCAGAGCAGATAAAAATAAACATAAACACACATACACACATACAGACCAAACATAAATATTGTAATGAAAACTCGTTTTCCTCTAAGTTGAAAATTTAAAAAAAAAAACTCGGAAAAGAGAGTGACGAAATTTACTGTCATTCTCAGAAGACTAATTGTTTTCGTGTTACACTGATAAATTATTATCCTCCAAAATGTTTTATGGGACATTTCGGTCGAGTTGATTTTACTTTCCTTTAACCTTTCCCTTTCATTTCCTTCCTTTTCCTCCTTTTCCTCCTCATTTACTTCCCCATAATCCTTCCTCCTTCCTCAATACGCATGCATGTAATTATACATGTCTTTTGATAGGGCAATTTTGTGCGAAAATGTGGAATTTTGCCCTAATTAGTATCTAATTATAAATTAGCATATTGTAATTATTAGCAACATGCTAAATGTATGGATCGATCGCAATATATTGTTCAAATTATTAATTTTAAAGCTGTTACAAATAAGACGGCAATTATAGAGAATGGAGTCGAAAATGGCTTTATAGATTTTCAAGAAATGCATTATTCTAGAATATGCTTGCCAATCAAGGCAACACCAAAATTTGCATTTCATTGAAATTTGAGACAGACAGCAAACCTCATTATGAAATCAAACCAAAATTTGTCATTCTCAATATAGCTTTCGCTAGCTGACTGTTAGCATTCTCATATACATAGTATATATACATATATTTTTCTCATCCTTGTATTTTCCTAAATTCGAATAATTAAGGTTATTGTTTGACTTCATTTATTTCCCATTCATTCATATCTTAACAATTGAGGAGGAATTTATTATATTATAAAATTTCCCTCTTTTTCTCAACAAAATTATGTTTGAAAGAAAAATTTGAAATTTGAAGCCATTTTTATTTGTAACGAATTCAATTCGGCTCAAATTATTATATAACTAAAATTTGTATAAAATATTTATATTTAATTTTTTGTTATAAGAAATATAGAATTTTTGAGGATGGCATGATTATTGCAACATTAGAGGAAAACGAATTTTGTCGAAAACTACCATTTACGGTAGTATCACCTTTTTTTTTTCCTCACTAAAAAGGCGCGAAAATTAAGAACGAGAATGTCACCGGGACTGGTTGGAAGCAATGTTCCAAAAGAATAGAACATGTCTGATGACAGATTATTGATTGAACAAAAAGATTTAAGTATCAAAGATTATTTGAACATTGTTGATAGTTCTCTGAAATTCGTAGAACTTAAAATCAATCAATCATTCAATCGATTGATTCATCATAAAGTACCGTATATCTCAAGAGATTGCAACCGTTCCTGACGATGAAAAAACATCAATAGACGCATTAATTAATGTAGCAATAAAAAAAGGGGGAAGAAATAGCTAACTAAAGAAGGATTATTCCGATGAATGAAATGTTAATTGGTGAAATGTTTTGGTTTGGCTTTCGGGGACTTTTGAATGATTATCAATTTATCGCGGAAAAAAATGGTTGGCGGGGGGAGTGGGAGAGAATAGGACAGGGGAGTTTTGAGGGAGTGGTTGTTATACCCAAATAAATACATATACAAAGCTAATTCGTGTCCTCGATGAGGTGACGGAAAGGAAGGAAGGAAAAAGATGAGGACGGGGGAGGAAGTGTGTAGATGGTAGGCGGGGTAGAGAGAGGCAAATAAATTCGGGCGGAGAATTGAAATGTAGTGCACACAGGAGCGAAATAGATTTATTGCTCAGGCAATAAATTATATTTTTACAGGAGGGTAGCGGAAAGATTGTTGTGGCGAATGAAGTATTGTTTGTCGGGCATTATTGCTGCAACAATAACAACAACAACAACAACAACAACAACAACAACAACAACGACAATATCAACAACTGCAGTTGCTACTGCTGCTGCGACTGGAACAATTACAGCAACGATTTATGTTGCACCTCTTCTTGCATCATCATTTTCATCATTCTTAATTGTTCTACCGCTTATTACCACAATTCTTCTAATTGTTCCTGAACAAGCTCATTCAACAGCAACAGTTACCGAACATCGATGTTAGTTTTGCTATTATCGATTATGTCTTATTGCTTTCATTTCTTCCTCCTTTTTTTTCTTGTTCTTTCATTTTCTCTTTCCACAAAGCAAAAATTGTCAACAATATCGTCCATATCGTTGCTTAAATTGACTGATTCGATAAAGTGAAATATGAAAATTTAGCTTTATTTTGGAAATAATTATTTTCCCGAGATTCCCTTGAGAAAAAATTTTGAAATAACATTACAATCATTAATGGATGAAATTTATGCCAATTTATTATGAAAACTTGGTTATTATTATAATGATAGAAAGAACAGAATAAAAATACGTCGTTAAAATAGGGAAGATTGGTATTATATAATAATGTTATAAGTATAGTTAAGTTGGTTAAGTAATATATTTTACTCATTTAACGATTTTTCATTTTTAATAATCGTACGATTATGAAACGCAATTTTGTGAGGAATAAAATACGAGACCATTTATTCCGGATTTGTTAGTTTTTAACATCACATATAACTGATGTGATTTCTTTGCTTTATAAACTTCTACTTTTCAATTTTTTCCTTTTTTTGTTTTGCGATAATATATTTCTTCTTATTCTTTTGATGAGCTCAAGGTTCATCCAGTGTTAAGAATTTTAAAATCATTGAGAACGTTAAATTTTCTTCGTTAAGTATTTCCATTCGAATAATATCACTGAGGAAGGCATTCTTTCATTCAGGTCTTCCAGTGTGCCATATTCCTAATACTGATATGAATATCTCCTGTTGAAGCTTCCCGAGAGATTCCCATAACGCTGCACTAACTTTCAAACTTATTTCGCTTATGCGTCATCAATTGATTAAAATTTCAATAGATCACTTCTCCTGTTGCTTACAAGTTGGTGAATGGTTGTGATGGAGTATTCCAGGTCTCTTTTCATATAAAATGACTGATATATATCTGTTTTAAATGAGATGCACAACAACTGACCACTTATAGCTTTATGTTGTGAAAGGTCTCAAGAGAGTTTGGAAAACTCTCTTGAGACCTTTCACAACATAAAGCTAAAAGTTAAATTACCATTCATTTCTCAAAAATGCCAGGCAGGAGTAGCAGTTCCGAAGTTGCTTTGCTTTACAATGTCTTGAAAAAGTTGGAACAAAAAATCGACAAATTGATTTGATGCTTTAGTAATTAAAATATTAAATGAATGGGAATAGATTTAGTCATTTAGTTTAGTGTGATAATCATTAATTAATTTTGAAAAAAAAAAAATGTTTCCCTTTCTTTTCTTTTTTTGATAATATTTTTCTTTCCAAAATTTCCGACAATTAATAAATACTAACACATTTTGATTTATAATATAAATATAAAATGTATTTAGTTAGTTTTACATGTGAATTTTGTTGGGATTATTAAATGATTCGAATATTAACAATACTTAATAATGCTTATGCTAATGAGAAAAAAATTGAAGAATTCCATCGAGCGGTTTTATCAATAAACCAAATGATATACGCAAACGTTCACTACAAACGTTGCAACATGTTTCTTTTTCAAATTATTATCAGCCGAAACATTTTCGATCATATTTTGTTTGTCATGAATAGACAATATTTGATGTGTAAAGCTGAAAAAGCGGTGATTTTTTAAATTTTCTTTTTTGAAATTTCTATTAAACAATGAAATTAAATGGTTAAAGAAGCGAAATAATGGGTACATTGAGACAATAGTATGGATTTATCCTTAATGATTTCAGTGAAATTTCAACGAATTTTTTTCTTCCTTCATCCTTTTTCCTCTTTTTCTCCTTTATTTTATGAAATTTACCGACAATTGATTGAGAATATGTATGCTTTTCAGAATACTAAAATTCAATTGAATTTTTATAAAAATTTCAGGTTGATATTTAATTCAATCTTTTGTTTTACAAGACTTCTACCAAATTACTTCGATTAAAAGGCAGACACTGTACTCTGAACAATACCAATCGTTAAATATTTCTATGATCGATTTTTTTATTTTGTAAAATTTGATAATTTAACAAAAACAAAAGAAGCTGTTTCTTTCTTTCATCAGTAGTATAACAATATAGAAGAGGAAAGAATAAATATGGGTTTTTGTTTAAAACCGCCATCTTTTGAACTATACCGCCTCATTGAAATTATTTGCGATAGAGGATGAAAGAATAAATTTTCTATTTTATATGAAATCAAGTTAGTATTAAAAAGAAAATGAGAGAGAGAGAGAGAGAGAGAGAGATGGAGAGAGTATGCAATAAAATTATTCCAATTGTTTGAAATTATAAGAAAAAAGTTGTCCCAATAAAAAAACGAAAAATTGAAATTTAAAAATTGTCAAATTTCCACATTTCATTCAGATTGATCAAAATTTGCATGGCTCATTTAACGTATTAATAGAACAGAACGATGGGAAAAAGATATCCCTCACAAATATGATAAGTTAGTTCATTCATCCATTTCATTATTATTCATCAAACCAAAAATACTACTCATCATCTTTCATCGATATATAGATTTCTCTTTAATCATATTTTGGTGACAGACAGTTCGTTCATCTATTATTTATTCTATTTCACGGGTTTTTTTTTCCAAACAGAATTGACATTTTTATAAAAGTTATTTATGAATGATAGCCATTCATTAATGTATTTTTATTAAACTATACATTATATTGAAATTATAGTAAAACAATTATAATTATATTGTTTCTTTTCTTTTCCTTCTGATTTATATTTCAAGCAACATGCATTTCAGTTGTTTCACATTTTTACTAATACTTCCGGTTGTCAATTATTCATTGCTAACGGTATGATCCGGAAACGAACAGAGGGAGGAAATTGTGAAGGGATAGTATGTATGTATGTATGTATGGAAAATTTGATAATTCTTTGTAATAAGACAAATTCAACTAGTTTAGAAATATAGTGAAATAAAATGGATACGATGATACAGTGTACTTGAGCTTTCTTTCTTTCCATTTTTTTTTCCTCTCTGAAATTGGCGAACATTGACATTTTAATCTTGTTTCTTGATAGAGATAAATAGAAGCTTATGGTAGAACGGAGTTGTTGGAGAAGAAGCTGAAAGAAGAAATTTGAAGATGACACTTTGAATAGGCTCTTATAGCTTTCTCGATTGCAATTTGTTTATTCCTTCATACCAGTCCAAACTGGCCACTGGCATTTAAACTACTATTCGAAGAGATCGTCCACTCTGATAATGTCATTATGATTTTGATTCCTTCGTTTGATGGACTGACTAGTTAGTCCTTTTCCGCTTCTATTCTTCCTCCTCTTCATTCTTGTTCTTCGATGTCCCCTAAACAGCTTGTGTCCCCAATGCGACGAGAAGAAAGAGGCAGTGAAGATTGACATGTCCGCAAAATTATCGCCGTAAAACGTCACACTCCTTTACATTAAAATACAGAATGTGGAGCGGGAAAGGAAAAGAGAAGATAGGGAAATATTTGAAAAATGGAGTATTAGGAAATTTTCTAAAAAATAAAAAGGAAACAAGTTTAGGATTAAAAACTTCCAAACAAATATGATAATTCATATTTTCATAAATAAAGAATTTGTTATATTCTAAATGTTTAATCTCTTGCTCTCTTAAATTCATTCATACTAATTAAATCTGATCTAATTTATATAAAATATAAAAAAGTTTTATAAATCAAAAATTAAAAACTTTTGAAATTTTGTAAGAAAACATTTGAAACTGTAAAGATTATAATTTACTGTTTTTATTTTTATATCTTTCATTTCCTCACAGTTATTATGATAACATCAACTATAGTTTTATGATCGTAAATTTTCCAATGTCTATCTGTCAATTCAAGTATTGTTGTTTATTTGTTTTCTCATTTCAAGTTTTCAAAAATTCGAATGGGAAAAAAAACACTTTATTTTTTTGATCGATAAAGAAAAAGTTTCAGCGCCACCAGATTTATCAATACCGTCACAAACAGAATTTCGTGTTCCAGTTGGGACAAAGCAGTTTAGACTGATATGTCCTGTCAAAGAGAAGAACGATGACCTTTTAATGATTCAGTGGAAGAAAAACGACGAGCCAGTAAGTTCATCTGTACCTTTTCGTTTTTTGTTTTTTTCTCTTTCTCTCTTATGCTCTCTTTTCTCACTCTTCAAAATATCTTAAGAATTTGCTTTTAAATTTTTTGAATATATAATAGAAATGTTACTATTAAAATGAGTCATGGAATATCCGTCCTTTTAAAACCAATATTGTTATCAGCCGGCTTACCTCCTGTAATAACTGATCTGCTAATTGAAAGGATTTGTCAAGAGTTACAGATCTAAATTGTTTAATTCAAACTTGTGACGCTTGACCAACCTTTTTCTGATGATGGATTTTGGATGACAAATTTAGGTTGAGTAGTATTAAATTTTACGAAAATATCGTTTATCTGAATTAAAACAATTAAAAGATGAAACTTACCGGAAAAGTAAGCTATTTCCATCTTTATCATTCTATTAAAGTCATATTCTTTGTTATCATAGCCTTCACATATCCTTCTTTCAATTAAAATATATAATTAAATTTTACTAATTGCTTCTAATACTTGAAACTTAATACATTCATTTAAATATAAATCTAACAGTTAACATTTCATACTCTCACTCTAACTGAAATTTTCTTTTTAACAAATGATGAAAGAAAAGTAATGATAGTTTAGTTGATGTGAAAGAATTTTCAAATGCTTCCGTAGCTAAGACTGCTAGCATATTTGATAGGAATAATATTGATAATGCATCCAAATCTTATCAGTCATTTATTTTTCTCAAACTTTTCTGTTTTTTCCTGCTTTTTTCCTATTCTTCAAAGCTTTATCCTTCCATACTTCACTAACTATCTTATATTTTTTGAATAATAGGATTGATCGAAGTGTTACATGTAAACGTAGATATCTATCACTTCGATCAGTCTTTATCATTGTTGAAGTAATTGTTATGCCACGCAAATAGTATTTTTAAAAAAAATGAAAAGTGCATTCAAT